ATGGATGGATGGATGGATGGATGGATGGATGGATGGATGGATGGATGGATGGATGGATCTAGTAGAGCAGTTTGCAGCCGAGTGCGAATCCTCTGAAATGAATGTCAGTACCTCCAAATCTGAGGCCATGGTCTTGAGGCGGTGAAGAGTAGAGTCCCTTCTCTGGTTTAGTTAAGTTTAAGTAGCTTGTTGTTTTGTTCAAGTCTGAAGGAAAATGAAGCAGGAGATCGATAGATAGATTGGTGCTGTGTCTGCAGTTAAGTGGGTACTGTTCCTAAATTGGAGTTGCTGGCAAAAGTGACTGGGGATAGGGAAGTCTGGGTCTCCCTACTTAGGCTGCTTTTTACTTTTTAAATAATTTATGTAAGGCTTTCACCAAAGCTTGCAGTCAGTCATGAATCTCTTAAATCTTGTTTCATATATCCTTTCCATTAAACATAGTATTAGCATTGTTTTGTTTCCCTTTTATTAAATCTCACAATACATATCACGGTAGTACATTTTCAAATTATGTTTTATAAGGGAAAATAAAAGCTACTCAAACAAAACTGGCATTGGTGTCCAGTGGTAAAGTTATTTCTAAGGCTTTGGGACTTTAGCAAGTGTACTAGAAAAAACATTTCTTTAAGCTGCTACTGTTTCTACGCTATCATTAAAAAGCTTGTGATAAAGTAAAAATAAAATGAAAGAACAAGGGAAGAAAAAAAGAAGCAAAAGCATCAACTTACACTTTCATTTCAACATGTCAGAAAAATGTGTGGCCAGATTTGAAAAATAAACAGGAGTTTTCTAACTGGATTGTTTAAAAATATTTGTTAAATATTTAAGGCAGTATATTTAACTGGCATTTTTTTTCTTGTTTTACTTTATCTACATGCATAAGACATGTTTATTTCAATAATTAAAAAGACATATCCCCAAAAACCCAATAGACAAATGGCATGAAAGTTTTACAATTTGAAATGTAAATGTCTCACCTTTTACCAGAACTTTTGCAGCTCCTTATCGGTCCATCAGAAGGTTTTACACAATCAATTCAGTCCATGTAGACGAAGTAAACACTGCTCATTTGTTTGAAACCGCATACATTACCAAGAGACAACACTTACCGTATGTCTTCTAACAGTCAGTAGAGCCTAGACTAGGTTTACATTTTTTGAAGCATTAGCAACTCACCTAAAAAATGAGGAAGTAATTTAATAGTTGAGAAATACGACATAAACTTCCTCACCAGTAGTTTTAAACAGCACCATCTTCTTCCTCT